TCAATTGTCTCATCAAAAACTGAAAATACAAAACAGATAGTAAGCTTTATAAATATATATACAGATAACCATACTTACGTCTATTTATGTCCTACAATCAACCATATTTTAACAAATATTTTAATATCCTAGCCCAAGTAAATAAACAAAAATGCACTTTTTATATCAAAAATAGTAATAGGTATACCCAGTTTCCAAGGATTTCAATAAATCTTTAATATCCAGGCAGAGGCGTACAAAGGAATTTATTTTAGGGGAGGCAAATCGAAAAAGTAATATACAGGGTTGTTCACCACATACGACACGGAGTATTGTAGCTGAACGATGAAATTTTTACAAATTGTAAGTTTTGGGTTCGATGAAGGACTAATAGAGGTACAATTTAAAAATAATTTTACAAGATACAGAGTGTCCCAAATAAGTAAAAAATATCAAAGTTGTATTTTTTTAAATGGAACACCCTGTATATTATTACATTTTTGGTTTCTACTATTAAAATAAAGGTAAATTTGATTAAAGTTTATTATACTTAAACCTTACCGTTTTTGAAATATTTTCAATTTTGTGAAATTGCAGTAAAAATTTTAAGGCTTCATTTCTCCAAGGGTATCAAAGTTTTTAATACTAAATATTTACTGAAGTTTATCTATTGATCAGTTATTGTGTTGAAATAATAAAAATAATACTACCTTATACAGAGTGTCTAAAAATTTATTTTAAATAATTATTAGCTTCAAACGGCAATAACTTGTTTAATTTAAATGGAACACCCTGTATATTTTACGAGAATCAGATGCACAATTTAATTGTCTATCAAATTATATTATACCATTTTTTACCTATCTCTTTAAGTTTCCGTAGAAAATGCATTTTCTTGTAATTTAGAACTTATTTATCAATATACCCATGGAATATTGAGATTTTAGATTATTTTTAAAGATGTACCAAATTTTTAAAGAGTACAGATACTAATATTGTCGATATAATTCGTTTATTTCATTAAAAAATAAAAAAAACTGTTTAAATATTTGTTAAAGAGGACCAATTAATATGATTCCAGTATTCAAACTACATTAACTGACTGTTTGCGTTGATTAATAATAATTGCTCCAAATACTAAAAAAACTGAATTTTGTATGGGTATTAGACAGTGTGATAAAAAGTAACACCTTAAAAATGATATTTTATTTTTTAATAAATGCTTATTTATAACAACAAAGACTTTAATTTTGATAACTTATTATTATATTGATTTCTGACTCAAATCCACATTTATTTATAATAATTTATTAACGAACACAATTAAGTATGTTTAATTAGTATATGGGCGGAAATAATGGTATTATATTTAATTAATGGTATACTCTTTAATAAAGATTTAAACAGTTTTCTTTTTGCATACAAATGGGCTAGTAATATTATCGTTTTGCTTTGGTTGTGTACATTTTGTACATTTGTTGCTTTAAAAACAATCTAAAATGTCAATATTCCATGGATATATTGATAAATGAGGTCTAAATTATAAGAAAATGCATTTTCTACGAAAACTTGAAGGGATAGGTAAAAAACGGTATAATACAATTTGATAGACAATTAAATTGTGCATCTGATTCTCCTAAAATATACAGGGCGTTCCATTTAAATTAAAGAAGTTATTGCCGTTTGAAGCTAATAATTATTTAAAATAAATTTTGAGACACTTTGTATAAGGTAGTATTATTTTTATTATTGCAACACAATAACTGATCAATAAATAAACTTCAGTAAATATTTAGTATTAAAAACATTGATACCCTTGGAGAAATGAAGCCTTAAAATTTTTACTGCAATTTCACAAAATTGAAAATATTTCAAAAACGGTAAGGTTTAAGTATAATAAACCTTAATCAAATTTACCTTTATTTTAATCGTAGAAACTAAAAATGTAATAATATACCGGGTGTTCCATTTAAAAAAATACAACTTTAATATTTTTTACTTATTTGGGACACTCTGTATCTTGTAAAATTATTTTTAAATTGTACCCCTAATAGTCCTTCATCGAACCCATATCTTGAAATTTGTAAAAATATAATCGTTTAGCTACAATACTCCGTGTCGTATGTGGTGAACAACCCTGTATAATTTGGTTTTTAGGCGCAATTTTTAACCTAAAAGCCTAATATTTAACACAATTTACAGTTTTTAGGGGGCGGCGGAGCCCCATGGGCCCCCCTCTGTATCCGCCGCTGTATCCAGGATTAAAAACGCTACTGATAACAACTGATAAATAACCGAATTTCTTAAACTATGGTACGTATTGGACCTTCCTGAGTCTTTTTATTCAGTGGTTAGAAATAATAAAAATACACAGTAACATTTACAGTTTATTAAAAATAATTCAAATTGAATTGTATCTAACTGCATAATCATAATTGCAATTAGCAATTGCATTATTATAGATTAGTGATTAATAAATAATTCACATTTATAATTAAAATATAACTTACAACATAAACTTATTAATACTAATGATTTTTAAAAACAAAAAAGGCTAGCTGCCAGAAATAGGTGTGTATTATTGTCATCACTTTACAAAATGATCGAAAATAAACAGCGTCAGCGATGGCTTTGATCGCTGTCATTTTATATTATGTAAAATAATAATAAAATGCCATCAATCGTCATTTCCAAGTTCCAAGCTAACTGGACACCGTTTTTTTTTCGATCATACGTTACTATATGAAATTTAAAATTCAGTCAGTCTTATCACTTAACACAGCAGTCTAATCTCTCTAATAAACTCTATCGATATAGTCAAAAATATGCAGTATTCTTTATTAATGCTTGCTTCATCATTATACCAGGTAATAAATAGTAAAATACGATAAAAATAAATTCAGTCAATTATATATTTTTCTTGAGAAATTCTGAAATTGTAGGCCAGTTCAGTATTCCTATGGTGGTTGTTGAGACTTTAGGCTCCTTATTTTTTTTGCACACTATGGTTTCACCAGTGTCACCGTCCTTCCTATTCTCCATAAGAAGTGAGAGTAAACGAGGACTGCCGCACTTCAGGCAATCGCATACTTCTTCTGGTTCAGCCTGGATGGCCATCAGTGTATACGTTTCTGTAAAAATTATTACGGTACTTAAAAATGAAAAATAAACATTCTATGAATATTGACCAAGTACTTACTTCCTGTTCCTACTATTATGTACTTGCTACTTCTTTATGTGTCTACAGGGTCCTACCAGTCCTTTACGCCATCAAAAATTATCCTATTTTTATTTTAACATGCTTATACCAGGTGTATCTTAAGTAAGTTTCAGTATTTTAATTAGTAGTGTTTAGTTCGAAACAAGATTTGTTTCCATTTTTCTTGATAGTGCTGCAGAAATGATTCAATGCTATTTAAGAAACACCCTGTAGAAATACATCAGTACTTAACAATGAAGAAATATCATGTTTCAATATGTTATTAGTACTTTCTCACCACTAGCTTAATTACCATTATACATTACTATTATATATATATATATATATATATGTTTATTCCCTACAAATACAATCTAATATATTCTCTAAATATAGCAGGTAATAATTTATTAATAACTCTCGCTAATATTTTGAACCTCCAATGGTGAGTTTAACTGCCAGATTCTCAAAAATTGGCCTGTCAGTCCATTTCGCTAGTTCAAAAAAGTAACAAAATAAGCGTTCGGCATTTAACGTATTATGTAAAACTGGCTAGGTGTTTTTACCACAAATGAAGAAGGAAATTAAGGATAAAGGATTATACTATATCCGTATTGTAGCACATTTTTAGACAACTTCTTTATTTTTAAGATTTTGATGGTCAAACATGAACAACATATTCCTTATTTGGACTAAATTTTCTCGAAAATAAAGACATAATTTAAAATTCCGTTAAAATACGGAAATAGATTTAAGTTTTGCGATTACAGTGATATGTAATTTATATAGTTTTGTAACAATTTGCTCGCTATTTTATGGCAAATGCTGAAGTTCTGCAAACCTTAATCAAAGCACGTGTGTTTGGATTGTTGGTGGTGGTTATTTATTTATTATTTATATTTAAAAAAATCAAAATTCTTGAAATAATGCATCAAATTCCTTTATAACTCTATTTTATTAACATTTTTATATTCCTAAACAGAAAAGAGGTTAATCCTATAAGTACATAAGAATTTTAACTTAATTATATAACTCCAATAACATTTTAAAGCAACATACTTAAATGAAACGCAAAAAGAATCCTAGAGAAAATAAACTCCGTAAAAAGTCCGTGATTTGAAGGGAGAAAACGAATTAAAAAAGAACAAAACCTCCTATATAATAATTATTTTTATTAACATTTTATATACCTAAACAAAAAATGTTCAATCCTATAAGTACAAGAGTTTAACTTAACTATATAACTGCAATAATGTTTTAAAGCAACATACTTAAATGAAACGCAAAAAGAATCCTATAGAACATAAACTAAAACTCAAATTATTAGAACCAATCATCGTTCAAAAGCTCATCCGCGTTCCTTTTATAAGGCCGCAGCTTTTTAAGCTGATCCTTCGAAGTTTCGAAGTATTCCATAGCAGCCAACACACCTGCTTCCTTACGAAGTTCACTAGCTTCATCGTCATAATCACCCTCAGCTGTTTCAAGCCTCTCAATCTCAACCGTATCTTTCCTGGCCGGTATCAACACCTCGGTCGATATGACATTCACGGCAGTATTTCGTCTTTTGAAACAACCAGGAAATTGTTTTTCCTTTGTACCAGAATCCTCTACAGGTACCTCATCCCTTCTAGCGTACTGTCTGCCAGAAAACAGTTCAGATTCGACAACCTTGAAAACAACTCGTTTGCTGCTTTTTTTGCCGGTTGTTCTTCAACACCATGAGCTTCAGTCTCGCCAAACACGAATTTTAAATGACCCTTCAGTTTTTTTAAGTTCATGGTTTGAAAGGAGAAAACGAATAAAAAAAGAACAAAACCTCCTATAATAATTATTTTTATTAACATTTTTATATACCTAAACAGAAAAATGTTCAATCCTATAAGTACAAGAGTTTAACTTAACTATATAACTGCAATAATGTTTTAAAGCAACATATTTAAATGAAACGCAAAAAGAATCCTAGAGAACATAAACTAAAACCTAGATTATTAGAACCAATCATCGTCCAAAAGGTCATCCGCGTTCCTTTTATAAGGCCGCGGCTTCTTAGGCTGATCCTTCGAAGTTTCGAAGTATTCCATAGCAGCCAACACGCCTGCTTCCTTACGAAGTTCGCTAGCTTCATCGTCATAATCATCTTCAGCGGTTTCAAGCCTCTCACTCTCAACCGTGTCTTTCCTTGCCGGTATCAACACCTCGGTCGATATGACATTCACGGCGGTATTTCGTCTTTTGAAACCACCAGGAAATTGTTTTTTCTTTATGCCAGCATCCTCTACAGGTACCTCATCTCTTCTAGCGTACTGTCTGCGAGAAAACAGTTCAGATTCAACAACCTTGGGTTCCCTTCGAGAAAACAACTCGTTTCCTGCTTTTTTTGGTGGCTGTTCTTCAACCCCATGAGCTTCGGTCTCGCCATGCACGAACTTTAAATGACCCTTCAGCCTCTTTAAGTTGGTGGTTTGAAAAGAGCATCGAGGACACTTTTTCTGAGTCTCGCACGGTTGTTTAGGAGGTAAGGAAGATGGTTTTTCGTAGTATGAGCGTTGTACCTCGGATATTGCGGGTGCTTCTGGTGCTAGATCACTGTGATCTGGCTCTTGTTCGATCTCACTTGGTTGAGGAGAGATATGAGGAGCTTGGGGGCAAATATCTGCAACTTCGCGCTCTTCATATTCAGAAGACTGTCGCTTATTGCGATATTCTGCAAAATCCTTATAGTAAGACTCACGTTCGTAGTTCACTGGTTCGTCATAGTAGTCTTTTTCTTTGACGTTCTTTCCAAAGCGAGTATTCCCGGAAGATATGGCATAAGAAGCTATATCGTATTTACTTAACTCATCGTAATCTTCGCCGTTTAAACCGTCATCATTATCAGGTTCCTCAACTTGCTGGTATCGCGGAGAAGTATCGCCATGTTTATATTTCGATTCCTTCTCCAACTGTTCGGTCTTGTATTTGGTGTACTCATCCACGTCAAACTTGTTTTTCGGGACATAAGGAGATACATTCGATTCGTCCAGAGATGCGTCGTGGGTGATTTGACTTTTATCTCTAGTGGACAGTACAGGAGGTTCGGGACAGTTATTCTCCTGAGCTTCCTCTTCCATGCTCAAGTGTGACCAATTATTATCGACGTATTTTTGAGAAATTGTCGGAGGTCGAGGACATGAAGACCCATCCTTTTTAAGATATTGCGGTCTTTGAACTGGTTCAGTATTTTTGGGACGTGTGTCTTCTTCTCTAACTTCCTCGAAAAAGACTCGCTTTTGGGGCGTTTTGTGCTGGTTGTTCTTCTTAGGTCTTCTGGTAAAGATGCAGGATAAACTGTCAGTTAGCAGACCAGTCTCTTTCTGACCACCAGAACTTCGGATGTCTTCAACTAATTTCTGAGCTTTCAGAGCCAGTTGATGAATATCTTCATTTCTGAATGATTGTTTCTGTTTAACATTAGCGGCACCAAGTCTGCGGTCTCCAGCAAGATGATTTTCGGCTTGGCGAGATGTAAAATACCCAGAACGTCTCTGGAAATCTTCTTGGGGATGGCTTAAACGGAATTTCTTGAATTTTTGTGATATCACACCTAAAAAAACACAGTAGGTTAATATAGTTCAGTTATATTGATACAGTTTAATCTAACTTAAGCATAAAAGGAAATAGACCCCGCGTCATCAACAGTTGATACAGGATAGAACAGGATGAACTAAAATGTGGAATATATAAACTTAATAAAACTCATGGTTGTATCTACCAATTCAATATATTAATAAAAATTATCGAACAGGAATAGAAAACGATATATGATCCTAATGTATTTATTGAGATTAAATAAACTATAGAAAAAATGTTTACATCAAGAACAAACAATCTTCATACACAACCTACATGAGTATTTAATATTATATTCAAGAAAAATGAGAAAAAATAAATATTCACTAAAAACCAGTCTTCGTCTAATTCAGATTCATAACTAATTTCGCTTTTTGTTCATTTGCTTCAATTGTCTAGCTTCCACTTCCAAATTATGTTTCACTTTTAGGTGTGCCTTGAGATTATGCACGTATTTGCTTGAATGCGAACAAAAAGGACAGAAAAAAGATCTGCTTTTGCCACAGGTGTACTTCGTGTGGTTGTACAACGAGGCTAGATGGTAGAACAGCTTGTGACAGTTAGGGCATTGGTGATTTTTTGGTTCATTATCTAAAAAACCATTATAGAAATACCCTGAACAAAATGTGTACTAAAATAAATACATGTTTCAGTTAAGGCATTGATATTTCACCAAAAATGAACCAAGTTCATAATTTTTGTGAAATTAGGCCGTACCTACACAGTAGTAAGGTTCAATTCAAGTTTAAACATAGTTAGTATTTTTACGGTTGGCAGATTATCAAAACTTATTGGGCTTCCACTAGTAGCCAGTGGAGGCTCAATATGTTTTAATATAATCAAAATAGATTGGGAACAGCCTTTATAATTCTAAAATGCTTTCAGTTAACCTACATATGCTGCCAAAATTTCATTTCGATATAAACTACCGTTCTCCTTGGAGCTTCCGCGGCGTCTGAGAAGAGCCACCCTGTATAATCCAATTATATAAAAAATTATATTCCGTTTGACTACAACTATAAAACAGACTTCTGTAGTAAATTTCAAGAGATTCTATTACCTGAAGATAACCCCAACCTAAAATGACAATTAGATGTAAAAAACAACAATTATAAATAAACTCTTTTTGGTTGTATTCGGCCATAAGTTCTACTGAAACAAATTAAATATTTCAGCAAAAAAAATGAAAATGCGTTTATTGAAACATATTGAAATTTATTGCATTTAAATTATTCACTAACAATTGGTTTTGAAATACCACTGTGTTTCGACGCTAAGTGCCTTTTCAAGTTTGAATAAAAATAGGTCTTGTAAGGACACAAGTCACAAATCCACTTCGGTTCCTTTCCACATTCAATTTTCAAATGCTTGGTTAGACTGTTTTTATATTTGTAGGATCTCCCACATCTTCCACACTTAAACCAATTATGACCCGCAACTATAACATCTTTACCTACAAAATGAATATTATTTAAGTATCCAAAATTATCACGTACAAAAAGGGAAGATTCGTACCACCAATAGCACAACAAACAACATTAACAACAATTTATTATAATGTTAAACAGCGTCTACACTATGCGCCAACAAACATGTCAAGGTCGCCTTTCGATCGAGGGTGGCGTTTTTTGTTGCCTCGTTCAATTTTGTTTTGATTTGAACTATTTCAAAAACGTGGCGGTATCTGTACCCGAGGCAAAGGATTCTTTTTCATAAATCTCAGTGAAATAAGCAAACCTAGACGTGTCTAAAATAGCTTTACGATGATATTTCGTTAATTACCTCTCATTTTATGTTATATTGATATATATTCCAAAGAATTAATATTTGAACAAGCGTTTATTATATGTATAGTAGATATTTAGGAACAAAACTTTTCATTTAAACTGCAGGAATATAATTACAATATTTTTATGATTTAATTTTATTATAATGAATTAGTATCTAAAATTGTATGCTATGTTTGTTTATGGCCTTAATTGATTAATATAACAGTAGTATATTGCTTGATGAATAATATTGGTAACGTTATCAATATATCCGCTTGGAAAAATTATAAATTGACCCGATGTCAACAAAAGTATGGTCCACGGACATTATTTAGAAGCAATGTTCTTTTATTGTTCCTAACAGAACTCTGTAAACTATACTTTTATTAGCACCCAGCATGGTTTGATATAAATCCATTCAACTGGTATTTATTATGCAGGGATTTAGACAATTAAAACTAAAAAAAGAGAAATTCGTACATTAAACTTTGCTACAGACTACAGTATAAAAAATGTTACTTCACGATTACCAGAAATAATAAATAATTAGACGATTTTTTAAATAATTTAGTGTATATTTTGTTCACGAGGCGCAATACCGTGGATTATAAGCCAATAAATGGTAGACCGCTAGTAAGTCACTGTTTCATATTTTTTTACTATATTGTAATTATATTAGACAATGATTAAAACTAAATATTCTTGTGTAACCTTCGAGGAATAGCCAATTTAATTTACCATCTAACTGTTGGTAGTAACTACATTGTAACTAATTAATTGTAAAAAAATTATACTTAAACCACTAAATTCTACGTAAAAAGGTGCTTTGGAAATGTTTCCATAAAAATACAAAATTTTCCATAGCAAAAAAGTTACAGCGATTTGTTAAAAATGCATATTTTTGAAAAACACCCCGTAACTCCGAAACGGTAACAGATATCGATATGCGGTTTTCACCATCATGTTTTTGCCAAAAATTGAGCTCCAGACTCCGATATTAGTTTTTGTCTATCTCCTATAGAAAAGGGTGTTTCCATTTAAAAGCGTCGAATTTGACCCACCCTGTACAACCATTATTTTAATTTCAGCAAAATTCATCAAAAAAAACAACCTACCGAAAATGCGTTTATTGAAACGTATTGAAATTTAGATGACAAATTAATTGCCTTGGATTACTCACTAACAATTTGGTTTTGAAATACCACTGTGTCTCGCCACTAAATGCCTTTTCATATTTGGAGAAAAATAGGTCTTGTAAGGACACAAGTCGCAGGTCCACTTTGGTTCCTTGCCACATTCAATTTTCAAATGCTTGTTCAAACTTCTTTTATATTTGTAGGATCTTCCGCACCTTCCACACTTAAACCATTTATAACCCGCAACTACAACATCATTATCTACAAAATAAATTAAAGTATCAAAAAATATCACGTACAAAAAGTAAAAATTCGTGCCACCAATAGCAATTCATTATTCCAACAAAAAAATTTCCTTATAGATCTATTGTGTCCCCCTTTCTTGGGTTACAATTCATCATAAGTCTCAGAGTTTTGGCAAAAGCTAGTATCTGAGACGGTTTTATAAAGGTTGGGTTCTCCATCTCCTATGTCAGTCGTACCTAGTGTTGCACAAGACAAGAATTCTTGTCTTGAAAATCAATTTCTTGTCTTGTCTTGAAATTCAAGACAAGAAATTTTCATAGTCTTGTCTTGTCTTGCAAGACTCTTGAAATTTCTTGTCTTGAAAAATTTTACATTCTAACAAAAAGGTAATAATATTTCTATATTTTACTTCATAGAAAGCGTCGTATACAAAATGTAATATGGAAAATGAACAACAGCGATGCTAATTTTAGCAAAAAATATCTTAACGGACCGCAAACGAACTACGTCAACTCGCCCGTTTGACGAAAGAGGAGCCATCAATTAACGTCTTGGGGTAGAAGTCTAGAGGAAAGGTCAATAGCAAAATTTGAAGAAATTCTATAAATTAATTATTTTTAGCCCACGATGTGCAAGCCTAGAGATTTAAGTACACCAAGCGTTTCATCATCTGTTAATGAATTTGATATTGATTTTAATTCAATATTTGTTACGTCTGAAGACGAACATTCAGGTAGTCTTGGTAGTTGTAGTTCTAATGTCAATACTGGTAGTAGTTTTCAAAATGAACTTCAAAATTATTTATCTATGCAGAGAGTGAACGATAAAACAGATATTTTAGCATGGTGGCAGAGCAATCCCAGGGCTATCAGAAATGGCTCGTGATTTTTTTTGTAAACCGGCTACTTCTGTTTCCCGCAGAGAGGCTCTTTTCGAAGGCAGCACTGGTAATAAGGAAACACAGAAACCGGCTAAATTCAGAATCGGTAAGTACTTTAATTTGTTTGAATCATGGAAAGGTCATGCTAGAGTGTACTATTTGCGCTATTTGATACTACTTTTTGTTCGCGGAGCAATTTCGTGCTTGAAAAGTAGTACCAAATAGGGCAAATAGCATGCTCCACGAACCCACCATTAGTTTCAACTACCGTTAGTTTTTTTTTTATTCCAATATAATTATTTATTATTTTGTGTATAATACCAATTGCCAATATACTGTTTGTTGCCTCGACCTTATTTTATTTCATTCTCAACTCTAAAACACTGGCTATGATAGAAAAAAATGAACGCTGGTCAATATTAATGCCGGGTTTATACAACATTTGCATAAGTTGTGATCATAATCACAGTCTTAATCATCGTCATAATCACAATGCAATTTTAATGTGCGTTTATAGAACATTTTCATAATCATAATTTTTATATCAGTGAAGTTGGGTAAGATAATTAAAGGCTAAGTTCATGGTAGATGTCAACAGGTTTATAAGAAGTGGATAGTTTAACTTTTATGATTATGACTATGATTATGATTACGACTATGTAAATGTTGTATAAACCCGGGATAACTTGCACAGAGACCTAATTATCACTTAAAAAATGTATCATTTCTAACTTTCAAGAAATCTTGAATTCAAGAAGTCTTGCAAGACTCTTGAAATTCAAGACAAGAAATTTTGAAAGTCTTGTCTTGAATTTCTTGCAAGAGTCTTGGTCTTGCAAGACTTTTTCAAGACTCTTGTGCAACACTAGTCGTACCAAAGTTTATGGCACGAATGGCTGTCGTCTCGGCACACATAGTGATGATGTTGTGGTGTTTCCCCATT